TGGGTCATAATTGAACTGTGAAATACTGTTCACAATGCCGTCGACAGATGGTAGCATGGTATGGTTGGGATTGCTTGAAGGTGAAGCTGGACTAGTCTGTTGGTTGACGAACATTTCCATTAATTTCATTTGTTGTTCAAATAGTAATACCAATTTAGAATAATCCATAATTTTCCCCGTCGCCAAATTGTTATGTACTCGTCGCTAAATTATTGTTATGGACTGGTCGAGAAATTAATAGTCCTGACGCAAGAAGGCGGAAATCAGAAGACCACTAGGTTTGCGATGATACTTCTATTTTCCAAACACAAGGAGAATGCAAAAGTGGTATCACACCAAAAGTAAAGTAAGTCACAAGATTGTGAGAACGAAATATATATATGAAATGTTCCAGACAAAGTGTGTGAACAAATCATTAGACAGTCTTAACATGAATGGCTAATTATAATGAAGTATCGATCCATATATACATAGCGAAATATAGCAGACATGTCAACAACCACCATATATGGATATATGTCACCAAGCAACGGACTGTCAACAAACACTCATATTATATATAATATAAGGGGAATATACATTGTTAAAGGAGACAAGTTCATACAAGTGAAATGGTCACAGACTAAGCGAGCAAACAGAAAGAGAGACCAACATACACACACACACATAAATATATATGTGGATACATATCACCTCCCCTTTTGAGAAGATTGATGATTAGTAGGATGTTTACCTGGGGGTTTATCTGGAACCTTTGAGCTTGTTGTTGACGTCTGTCGTTTCGTCTGCCTGTTGGGTTTGCGGCTTCGGCTTCGTCCGGAATTGTCTGACATTTTATGCTTCTTGACTGCATTGCATAGCGAATTTAGTGGGACATCAGCCAGATGCAAACGATCGAACCAATCAAGTCCCAAAAGATTTAAATCACTCTTGGTGACGTAGCAAATTCCTGTGAATTTGGTATTGCGGAAGGAAACAGAACATTTGAGTTCACCAATAAGTTTGAGCCGCCCACCACAGGCGCTGAGAGCAGTCTGAGAAGTATTTGCGATTGGTGGTCTGCCAATATTATTCCAAAGTTTCTCTGATATAACAGTAATATCAGAGGCGGTATCTAGCTGCAGACGTGTATCATGACCATTCATCTGAAGGTCAATATATTTCCGCATAGCTGGTGTTGTGACTTGACAGGTTGCGCGTAGACTCAATGATCTTTTTGGAGATTTAGGACCAACCGTTTGTCGAGCTTTTGCTGGATTATGATATCTGGGTTTGCGTGGCTGACAAAAACCATTTTTATGACCGATGATTTTGCACTTGCTGCAACGATGATTTTTGTATGGGCAAGACTTTACAAAGTGCCACGCGCCACAATGCCAGCATGGTGATGGTGGGGTCTTCTTTGCAGTATTTTGTGAAGTTGGACGAGTATGTGTAGATTTCCGCGGGACATTAAGAGAAGGTGGGTCAGGAGTGGATGATGAGAGATTTTTGCTCTTTCGTAATGCATGAATATCAGAGCTTCTCGAAGGTGTTGATTCGACCAGGTGTGTGTCTTTCTGCAGATTAATCAGCCGTTGATATTCATCAGCTATGTCATGTAATGTTAACTTGGGATTTTGTTCTAGCTGATTGAGCAGTCGAGTTCGGATATCTGTGAAACGAGGAGATTGAAGACTGCATATGAGAATCAAGGCTTTGAATTGATCATCTGTTAAGGACCTGAGTCGAAATCTCTCACATTCTCGGTTGACTGTGCCAACGTGAGTAAGAAAATCATCATTTTCATTCATTGTCAGCTTGAGGCAACGATAACGTATGCTGAATAATGAGGAGTGGTCTCTAAAATGTTCACGCAGCAGCTTTATTGTATCATCGAAACACTTATCACGTGGTTTCTGGGGTTAGTCTCTAAAATCCTAGGCTCAGTAATCATGCATAGACTAAGCAGAACTCGGGAGGAACAGACAAGGGAAAATCAAGCAGGCTTTAGACCAGGTAGAGGATGCATAGATCATATCTTCACTCTCCGACAGATTCTAGAACATAGACACACTTTTCGGCGTCCAACAATTATCATATTTCTTGACTTGAAGGCGGCCTTCGACTCCGTGGATCGAAAGGTACTATGGCAATGTCTGACTGTGAAGGGAGTGCCAAGAAAGTACATTGCACTAATCAAGGCACTCTATTCAAACTCACGTAGTCGTGTAAGGGCTTATGGGGAATTGTCATCTGAATTGGTAACAACCAGTGGTGTCCGACAGGGATGTCCACTTTCCCCATTTCTGTTTAACTTCATCATAGATATGCTGATGGAAGTATCCTTAACTGAACTTAACGACTCAGGAATCGACTTGTTACCAGGGAATAGTCTTCTGGACTTAGAATATGCAGATGACATAGTCCTGTTACGGGAGGATGCTGACAAAATGCAGAGTCTTCTGAACACCTTGAGCAGCAATCTTCGTATGTTTGGCATGCGATTCGCCCCTACAAAATGTAAGATGCTGCTACACGACTGGACGACGTCAACCCCTAACTTAGTGATAGGGAGTGAAGTGATAGAACATGTTGACCACTTCACCTACTTGGGAAGTTGTATTAGCACCAACGGACTGATTGGCGATGAAATCTCAGCACGGATCCGAAAAGCTCGAGCTGCTTTCGCTGACTTACACCATCTCTGGCGTAGGCGTGACATCCAGTTATCAACCAAGGGACGTGTGTACTGCTCATCAGTTCGCTCCGTCCTTCTCTATGGCTCTGAAACATGGCCAATACGCGTTGAAGACACGAAAAGGTTGACTGCTTTCGATCATAGATGTCTGCGATCTCTTTCTCACGTTAGGTGGTTTCACAAGATAAGTAATGTTTACGTTAGGCGTAGAGTGTTGGGCAAAGAGGGAAAATCAATCGACGAGGCTATAAAGTTACATAGACTAAGATGGCTAGGTCACGTGCTGCGCATGCCTAACCACCGCCTCCCCCGACGGGCTTTGCTAGCTGATATAGGTTCAGGTTGGAAAAGAGCCAGTGGTGGTCAAACAAAAACATGGCATCAATCCATGAAATCCTTGACAGTTAAACTGAGTCAGGTAGGGAGATGCAGACTCCCGGGTTGGGGCCCTCGGGACTCTAGGAATCAATGGCTGGAGACAATAGGTGACATGGCTCAAAGTCGTTGTCAATGGCGCAGATGTATTCAGTCTCTGTAATCTTTCATATTCCTTTCTACAACTACCCATTCTGTTTCACTCTTATATTTGTCAAACTCTATTGATTCTCTTCACTCATCTTCTTGTCTACCTTGTGTGCCAATTGGAACGTGGCAACTCGAACTGCTGCACTTCGGTGCCAAGTTCTATGTTGAATCCAGACAGACAGTTTCTGGGGTAAAATTAGGTTGCAGTACCGTTCATATTCTGTGGGACCCAATTTACGTAACAACACTCGCACCTTCCAGGCATCGTCTTGTGAGGCGAAATCAACAATGAATAAATCCTCATAACGTTGATACCATGTGTCAAAAGTGACATTAGCCTCTGGGTCATAATTGAACTGTGAAATACTGTTCACAATGCCGTCGACAGATGGTAGCATGGTATGGTTGGGATTGCTTGAAGGTGAAGCTGGACTAGTCTGTTGGTTGACGAACATTTCCATTAATTTCATTTGTTGTTCAAATAGTAATACCAATTTAGAATAATCCATAATTTTCCCCATCGCCAAATTGTTATGTACTCGTCGCTAAATTATTGTTATGGACTGGTCGAGAAATTAATAGTCCTGACGCAAGAAGGCGGAAATCAGAAGACCACTAGGTTTGCGATGATACTTCTATTTTCCAAACACAAGGAGAATGCAAAAGTGGTATCACACCAAAAGTAAAGTAAGTCACAAGATTGTGAGAACGAAATATATATATGAAATGTTCCAGACAAAGTGTGTGAACAAATCATTAGACAGTCTTAACATGAATGGCTAATTATAATGAAGTATCGATCCATATATACATAGCGAAATATAGCAGACATGTCAACAACCACCATATATGGATATATGTCACCAAGCAACGGACTGTCAACAAACACTCATATTATATATAATATAAGGGGAATATACATTGTTAAAGGAGACAAGTTCATACAAGTGAAATGGTCACAGACTAAGCGAGCAAACAGAAAGAGAGACCAACATACACACACACATAAATATACATGGGGATACATATCAGAAGTGTTCTTCACAAAAGTGAAGATGTGAATTTGAACGGTTGTCACTTACGACCGGACATGCGCTCTTCTACCTGTCTTGTACACATTGGCTCCGTAGTGCGAAAATTTCGAATGGTGTATAGACCTGTTTTGGTCACTGGGAACCAAGTGAACTCAACTGCACACTGTCTTATGGATAAGACTTGAAGTCAATGCATCGGGAAGTGGCCCCTTGTGTTTCTATCTTGACGTCGGCGCAGTATCCTATCCCTTGTACAAACTTTGAGACTTTATGAGGCGCATCTCTTAATGGTCATAATGTACCAAGTTTGTGTTGCAGTAATCCAATAGTGGTATATCAACTAAAACAACTGGAATTCCTTCATTGTTAGTTTAGTTACTTTAAGCTATGATGAAAGGCAGTATCATCTTTCTTGGTGTGTTGCTCTCAGCAGCATGTGTAGCATCACTTGTCGGAGATTCTAGTTGATGATGATGATGACTAGATTCATTTGAAGAAGTGCAGATGTATTAGGTCTGCGTCAACTTGAAAATTGTAAACCAAAATCATCTCGCTTGTACTTATGGACATCCATTGTTGCACTTCCCTCAGTCTGTACATTTCCTATATACTGATTGATTAGTAAAATTTACTTTAAATAATTTTCTGCATTGTATTTATTTGGGCTTTAGTTATCGTGATTTGCATGTATCACTTCATTTAACAGTATAAATTCATCTTTTCAATATTAAAAAAAATATGTATATTTTATTATTGAATAGTTCTTGTCAAAAGTTCAAGATCCAACAAATTTGGCTGTCCGTTTGTTATTCATCATTGGTCGTCGTATAGCCTATCGGTGTTATGGTTCAGAGTACAATGCTAAACAAACATTACGTTTACGTGTATTTATTCCGCTGACAGTTGAATCATGGCTTCGTGGTTTATTACCTGTAAGTAAAATGAAAATACTTTCTTTTTCTTTCTGTGCTTTGAAGTTTCTATAGCGATCCGGTTGAATTTCCTGGAGAGGGTCGCCAGTTCCACATGCCCCTGACCTCCCCTGTTTCTGGGCTTAGAACAGGCTAGCACCCATTGAGTGACATCTCTCGAGTGGAGTTCCAATGAGGAAGGATGAGTGTTGAGCATGGCTCTGAGGGTGACATGCAGGCGATCGTGGTAGGAGGAGATGAAAGCTTTTGGGCAGTCGTGGAGTCAGATAAGAAGGACTATAGAGAACAAGGTGATGTGGCGATACGAGGCTGAACTCCTGCGTTTTACTCGGAACCTAAGAGAATATTAGTAACAATGAAAATGTTTGTTTCAGGTTAGACCACGAATCGATATCAGTTGGGGAACCACTGAAAATCAGAGAGTATTGGACAGCTGTTTCATCCTGGTTTGGGACTCGTCAACAGAATCCCAACAAACCAGTTCTTGAAAATTCATCTGATGTACTCTGGTGACTGTCTGAAGGACGAAGTTGCCTGGAATTCTAGTGAGAAGTCGTGAGGTCTATCCAGTCGCGAGTGAGGATGAAGTTCTCGCCGACTACATTGGTTGTTCGTAGACGTTAGAATTCATGTACTGGCAGTTGAATCGAGTTCTAGTGGCTGAATGGTATACGAGCCAGCTTATCTTGTAACCAGAAGGTCCTGAGTTCGAACCCTGTCAGTGCGTGCGGTCTGCCGATGATTCCCAAACTAGGTTGAAACAGGTGTCCAGTACTCGTTACTGGTTCTCATTGGTTATTTAACTGATATCAATCTATGGTGTGACCTGAAACAAAGAGAATCCCTGTAAACCGATCCTTGAAAATAAAATATTGGTTGTTTTCTTTTTGTTTTTGTTAACATATTCCACATCAGTATTTTCCTTCCACATTCTTCCTCTTAGGTCAAAAAGTCAACGAGTAGTAGAGAGATAGTATATCATGTGTATCATGGTCGCCCGAATTCTAAATTTGCGGACTTGGAGAAATTACCCTTTCTTATCGAATATGTAATAAAGCATCTCCCACGCCACACTGGTCAACTGTCAATAGCCGTAGAACTACGCAATATTCTTCAAGCTATTGTACAGTCATATACTTTATAATACTTCTAAAGTGAAGAACGTCTGTATGTTTTCTTATTATCGTTGATGTATTACGTCTGATATGTGTTATACTCAACATTCCAATTTTATGCACACACAACAAGCTGTGTTTTTTTATCACTGGTTTGATAGGCATAAGCGCTAATATATTTGCAAGTTTGAAACTTGATTACATATCAATTTAACAAAGAAAGGAATCACCTTGTCTTCACAATCATACCTAAGGCGTAATTGTTTCTCTCTTTTCCTCTTTCCGTCTGTCTGCCTGTTAGTCTGTAGATCTGACTACTTACTTAGTGTATGGTTCAATTGTATATCCTGAAATCTTATGCTTCCTTTATGCTTATTTTTGTGAAAAGTGTTCAAATTGGTAAACTGTAGAACTGTCTGTGTGTATAACGTGAAGTTGTTTCAAGTATTACAAGGTTCCTTGTATTATTATTATTCATCTTCATACTGTTGATTATCTCTTTCCTTAGAGTTCATCTCTCTAAGTCTTTTTATGTGTTCTTCTTGTCAAGAAAAAGCAAAAAAGTGATGGTTCAGTTGTGACTAGTATTTTTCAAGACAATAGTGATAAATATATTTGAATTACAACCTTATATAATTTTTTCTTCTTGAAACCAACTGTTATTTTATCTGTGTTTAATGCGAATTATAAACGTGAAAGAAAAAACTGTGTCAATCATGATGTGTGTGTGTTGGGTTTTTATGCTACAATTCATCAACAACCACCACACGAACAATTGATGATAATGCTGACAAAATTTTTTTTTATTTTGTGACGATCAGAGAGAATAGTTTTCTTTCAAGGGTTAGTTTGTAACAATCTGATTGGCTTCAAGTGTGATTATTGTTAGAGAATTGTTGAAAACCAGGGAGTACTAGACAGCTGTTTTGTCCTAGTTTGGGTCTCTTCAACAGTGCGCACCCATGACCCCACCGGGTATTCGACCCTGGAGTTGGAGTTCATAAAGATCCTGGATTCGATTTTTGATGGTGTCATAGGTGTGTACTGTTAAGGAGTCCTGATTTGATCAGTATTAATGTGTATAACGTTTCAAACTTATACTTGATTTGTTTTCTACAAAAATAGTACAAATACCGTTGGGCATTCCCTATTCCCAAGTGGTTAATTACCTTTTTACATGGTTAATTAGTCAAATATACTGAATTTTCCGAAGTGTTTGAATACTGAAGACGTTCATGGGGTTAAATAGTGAAGTAGAATTTTAGCTTGAACGGATGATGATCTCCATTATGACTGGTTGTTCCCATCGTTTTCTTTAGGAGTGTGTCCACTTGAACTGAATACTGACTCTCTGATTAACCTGATACATGACCGTTACCTCCCATGACCATTTCTTATTGATCAATAGAGTAGATCTATATTCGCATGTCAAATATTAGGTCAACAAGGGGATTATTATCAATACAAGTAGATATAGTTCTAAGGAAACGAGTCACAGTGAAGGTTATCAGGAGAGTTAAAGATTTTGCTCATGGAGAATCGCTAAATCTTACTTCACTGTGGACTTACCGCTGAAACGGCAATGTCCATAAAGACAATTAAAGCTGAAAAATTAAACCATTCAGCCCAGGGGACAGAACAACACGAAAAAATAGTTGTGTTCTTCTATAAGAGTTAAACTGCTGCAATCAATTTTGAAGGAATGGGAGTTAGTATCTTATATCTCATAAAAATATCAAATATACACCGAGGAGACCGTTGGATGTCATCGCACGCTAGACCCTCGAGTGGAATGCTAATGCGAAACGATGAGTGGGGCGTAAGCATGAATTTGAAATAAATGTGATCATGTGAAGAGGATGTAAAGGCTTCCTAGCAGGCATGGAGCTGGCTGAAAAGGACTTCAAAGAACAGGATGAAAAGGTGATGTGCTGTTGTAGCCCTATGTTTCACTCAAAACTCAAGGGAATAATAACAATAGTAATCTTGTAAAAACGAGAATACCAATAACATTACATTAGCATTGTTCCTTTAAAAAACAATTTCCTCTCAACAGGCATTTCAGTTAATGTCTCATCGTTATATGAATACTCTTCCGTAAATATTCGAAGTAGACGTATTTCGAAGTCATAATGAGTGCAAACTTGTATATGTGAAAGCTATCAGCGAAAGTCTACACAAAAGAACATACATTAAAGGATGACAAAACCGTATAGTTTCTTCTGAAGGTACCTATAACCACATTACAGTGATGAATCATTAAACAAAATACACAGTAGAGAAAAGAATATGGAAGAATCCAAGTTTTTAAATCGATTGAAGGTCTCCATTAAAAGTTTTAAAAGATTGATTAGTGAATATAGAATTATTTTCGAAAAGAATATTCTTTGTTCAATGATCAGCCTTCTAAAAATGTCTTTAACGCTAAAATTTTATTAATGGCGGGTATTTATCAATGTTTAAATGACAATCAGTTCACGTGATGTTATGTTTCTTTTCAGCTGACAGTGTCTCTAAACAAGTCAAAAACTTAAAATTATGAGTTACCCTGAACTGGGATATATCTATTCCATTATATTTGAATAGCCTACATATTATCCTCCATAAATGAAATAATTAACACGTTTGAAGACCTGTCTATTTTGGCGCGTCTGTGTAGACAGTTTTTCAATCAAATTTACCTGAGAGGCATAAAACACCTATCAGTCTTAGGAAATTAATAAATGATGCGTGCAATTAAGAGGTCTTCCCTTAAAAAGCCGGTATGACTTACACGCTATAATTGGATTGAATGTATCGGCCTTCGATGTTATACTTTGAGTAGTTGAAATCTGAGTAAGTTACAGCCATCTTTACATTGATAGTAGGAATTACGAGTTGGCATACTCTCGTTGAATGATACTAGTCGTTTAAATGACAACTTATTACTTTTATTTGATTATGACTAGACTTCGCTACAACCTGTTTTAAGTAGTGAATTATGATTCGAAACCGACCATGCCCAATTAGTGTTTTTTAGTACTCTGCTACACCATTGTCATTCTTAGAAGGTACTTAAGGCAATGTGTCGCGTATAGCAGCCTTTATACTTCCCAGTGACTTTTGGCTTCATAGATTTAATAACAGTAGACAGACGATTACATGCTGTTGACATCTATCACATTTGTGCTTTCTATTTTGTTTTATTTGTCCAAGATTCAGTTGATAGGTGGTGTGTGTGTGTATGGAAGAGGGAAGTGGCTTCAAACCCAAAGGTGTTTTCATTAACCGATGACACTGTTACTTCCACGCTTACGCCATACCTGAACGAAACGTTGAGTTGAGACGAAGGTATATTGTATTCACTTTGATATAAACAACCCAGTCATGGTATTTCCTGCCTGTTTTTGATAATACTAATAGCTGAATCTAAGAGCTACGAGTCTACTGACTGCCTAATCACAGTTAACGGATTGTTGACTCTTAAGCCTAAAAAAAAATAACTGCTCTGTATTTTTCATCTTGATAACAAGCTAATGTTGTTGTCTCATCATTACCGTTATAGTTTTTCCGTAAATAAATCGTGCTTTTATCGGCCTTCTGATGAAATAACCCTGTTCCTCTTTGTCTGTCACTTGTTGAAAATGATAACGTATTTTTAGTATTTTATACGAAAACTTATTGTGCATGAGATTCTTTAATAGGTCGATTGGGAGGAATTAGAAAACAGAATGTCAGCATGCTAATGAGGCGGTTTAAATTATAAGCTTGACAGGCGGTACAAACGCGTACTGAAGTCTCATCTATACTGTAGACCAACTTACTCATGGTTAAAAGCTGTCACTATTTCACGAAAATTGTGCTGGAAAATCCTGTTTGACATGCATTTCTGCCTGATTCCCAATAGTTTCATGATTGATAAACATATGGGTGTCTAATTTTTGAGAGCTAACTGGATTAATTAGTACTCGACCAAGTTCAGTAGAATGAGTATTTCGGAAACTATGGCCCAAGTGGCTGAATGGACAACGAGCTTGCTTTTGTAACCTGAAGTTCCATAGCTCAATCATCGGTGGGGCCTTGGGTGTGCACGATTGAAGGGTCCCAAACTAGGGCGGAAATCACAACCAATCAGGACAGCTTAATTCACGCACATCCAAGAGTATATATCGAAGAAATGTTACAGTATTCATAGACGAACCGTGCCTTACTAATATATTCACATCCTAATGAAGTATAAGATACTGAAAGGGAGAATTCGACATTTCTGCACATTTGAAGTACTCACTTCGTTGAATATTGGTAGTGTACTGATTTTTTCCCACTCAGTCCGTTTCAGAGCCCATCTGTAATTTCTTGGCCAAGATTATATGAATATTCATACGTTAAATTGTACGTGGAAGAGTTTATTTATTTTTCTGCCTAAACAACCAACATTTACACTGTTGTACACTACAAATTGATTTGCAGTCTTATTTGTCCGTCATCAGGTTCGCTTTTATCAATCAACCAGAAGAAACTGATTTTGGCTAAAAAAGCATTTAATCTATTGTGTTCATGTTTTAAATTTCATAGCTGATTGAGTTATTAGAACAAACCAAGATGACATTGTCGTTTTCAGGTGTTTTGTTGTTAATTAAATGACAAAGCAACCCACTATTTCCTGTTGCTTGTCGAAGTATTTAAGGGATGAAGAGTGAACCATATCGGGTTTGGTCGTTTACCAATCGGCACAGGTCGATATGACAGTCTTTATCGGATGATGATGTTTCAAGTACAGTTTATTGTGTATTCCGGACATAATGGAGTACTTTTCTGTAGCTCTGTTGCTTCTGATTATTAAGTCTTATCGAGTGTAGCATTCGCTGTATCTGCTAGGGTGATATTAGACTAACTTGATATAAAAAAATATTTTTCACTGACTAGTGTTCTATTGCAATGGCTTATAAAACGGTTACTGTCCAATATTTCTGTGTGATTCTGTGACTTTTCCTTTGAATCACCCATCTTGTTGAGCCAGATCATGCTAATCTTTCTTCAGCTCCTAACC